GACTGGGACCGAGATTCGGGGCGTCTGAAAGGTCAATGGAGAGTTAAAAAAAAAGTGAATTCATTAACAGCAACTGTTTTAATGTTGGGCGTGGTACGAAATTATTTAAAGGTGTTGAAAATAAATAACTAAGTCTTATTTCCGCTATGTGTTTGGGAGTGTTTGGGAGCACATTTGCCGCTCAGACAGAAGACGTTTGTCTCCCCTCCAGCTCTCCTCCAACATGTGAACAGCTGCTTATTGTCGGTAGCAGTGATTTGAAGGGAGTGGGGTGCGTTTGGTTGCGACATCTCCGGGGTGTGAACACACACCGCCATCTGATGACTTGGCATGTGAGTGGAAAGCGCCAGACTTCCTGTGTCCATGTGCTGTTCTTCTCCTTCTTCTTCTCCTTCTTCTGCTGTCCCAGACCTCCCCTCCACTCGTCTTCCTCACTCCTCTGACCACATGCTCCCCCTCCCTCTTCCTCCTCTCCTTCTGCTTTCCTCTTTCACTTCCACCTTCGCTCCTCTCAGCTTTTTCAAGTGGCCCTCCTTCCTCCCCACTCCTCTCTTTTCAATCGATCCCCCCCCCATCTCTTATATCCAGCTCCCATCTCTCCAAACTCCCCTCACCCATCGCCTCCTCGCAGCCCGACGCCTCCTATTCCTGTCTCAATTTCAGCCCTGCTTCCACTCCTTCTCCTCATTTGTTTCTCCCTCTTCTTGCCTCCCCCCCTCTCCCCACCATTCGGCCGGTTGTAAACGGGCCCGTCCCGGTGCTACTCGGCCCATGGCCAACTCACTAAATCAGAAACGATTGGAGGATTTGGCAAGAGGGAGTGAGAGCTCAGCGCGGCGCCTTTGAAGTCAGAGACACGAGAGAAAAATGACATTTTAAACAGCCCGCAAAACACAAGGCTAAAACAGCTTCTTACTCTGTACAGGAGGAGAGGGAACTATGTGTGTGTGTGTGTGTGTGTGTGTGTGTGTGTGTGTGTGTGTGTGTGTATATGTGTGTAAGAGGATTTGACAGCAAGATGGGTCCAAACAGATAACCTAAAAAAAAAAGAGGCTTCAACAGAAAGACAGCTTCCGCCACAGGCTGTGTTTCTCAACTAACGGTGGAAACAGTCAGAATCCTTATTTCACGTTTCGCCAGTTTTTCACAAATTGGAGCAAGTAAGCGATAACAACCCGTGTTGTCGCCTTTAGGAAAGTATTTGACATCTCCAAACATGTTTGCCCGGGAATTAAATGGAAACCAGTCATCTTTTCGGGGCGGACGTTAACTTTTGTTTTTCTTGGATGTCATTCAAACCCTTTAACCGGCTCCCTGCACTTTGTCATAGAGAGTTAAATCACAGATGTAATCAATAACAATAATTAGGACTGCATTCCTTTCAGGTGAGCCACTTCCTGGTATTGTGCACGCTCTCTCGTTAATGCTATTAGTTTCACCTGTGCTTTTCCTGATAAAACATGTCTACTGTGTAAAGGCCTCCTTATGACTTATCAGTTAGATGTGAAATGTTTGTGAAATCAAGAAAATTCAACACATTTGGATGTTAAATCTATTTCTATCATAACTTCAAACTGTTTGCACCAGAGAAGCAGGAAAAGTAAATGATGGTGAGTCCAACTTTTGCAACTGTTGATGAGGCAGTTTATTCCCTCCTAATCCTATACATTCTCATTTGTCACATCCTGTTGGTAAAGTAGTGTACACACCACATTTAAACACAGCCTCTCGCTCATAGAGGCAAAACACTTCTGCAGTAGCCAAAAGTAGTCATTTAAGGTAAGAAGATAAACTTGTAAGAGCCTGTTCTTACACTTAAAATCTTTCCTGATGCAGCTTTAAAGCCTTAAAAAAAGAAGAGAAGAGTTTTCTGTTTGTTCAACTGCCTCATTTGCAGCTCGTCGAGCGATAAATAGCGACAGTTAAGCCTCGAGAATGAGCGCTAATGTCGCCCGGAGTGACTGTGTTAAATCAGATTCGAAGAAAGAGTCGGAGAACGTGAACACGAGAGAGAGAGCAGCGGCGGGGAAAAGAGAGCAAGAATGTGTGTGTGTGTGTGTGTGTGTGTGTGTGTGTTTGTGGAGGGAGAGTGTGTGCGTCTATCAGACAGATTTTGTGTCTGTGTGGCTCGGCTTTGATGTCTACACACACACACACTCTCACGCACTATCACGTGCACACACACTACAAATGATTGTTTTTAAGAATTCAAGCCAGGGAGCTCCGGTAGGCGGTCTGCCAGCTGGCCACGGTCCAGAGAGTGGAGCATAGCCAGCGCACAGCGAAGAAACCTGGCCGAAACACACACACACACACACAGCACTTATAGCAGAGGGTACGACCGCTCGAGAGACACACACACACACCGACACACACACACACACACACACACACACACACACACC